GGGCCTGTCAGGGGGTGGGAGGCTAGAGGAAGGATAGCATTAGGAGAAAGACCTAATGTAGATGATGGGGGGATGGATGCAGCAAACCATCATGACATGTGTATACCTGTGTAACAAACCTGCACTTTCTGCACATGTACCCCAGAACTTAAAGTATAATAATAAAACAACAACAACAACAAATGGAGACAAAACAAAGCACCTTAGACAAGACTTAATTCAAACTCAGTTTTTGTTGTGGCTGTTTTGTTATTTTTTGCCACAAGACATTATTTTATTTGTTGTTATTGCTGAATAGTATTCCACTGTATGTATGTATTTTTATGTGTGTATATAAACCATTTTCTTTATTTAGTCATCATTTGGTGGACACTTAGGTTGATTCCACATTTTTTGTATTATAAATAATGCAGCAATAAACATAATGACACTGGTATCTTTTCATACAATGCTTTCTTTTCCTTTGGGTAGATAACCAGTAGTACAACTGCTGGATTAAATCATAGTTCTGTTTTTAGTTCTTTTAGAAATTCCATACTGTTTTTCATAGCAGTTGTACTGATTTACATTTCATCAACAGTACAGAAGCATTCTATTTCTCTGCACCTTCACCAACAACTGTTGTTTTTTGACTTTTTAATGATAGTCATTCTGATTGGTATAAGATGGTGTCTCATTGTGGTTTTAATTTGCAATTCTCTGACTATTGGTGATGTTAAACATTTTTTCGTATGTTTGTTGGCTCTTTGTATATCTTCTTTTGAAAAATCTCTATTCATGTCATTTGTCGACTTTTTAATTGGATTATTTTGTTGTATTATGTAGCTGTTAAATTGCTTGAGTTTCTTGTAAATTCTGGATGTTGGTGTCATGTTGGATGCATAATTTGCAATTATTTTCTCCCAATCTGAAGGTTGTCTGTTCACTTTATTGACTATTTCTTTTGCTGTGCAGAAGAATTTTAGGTTAATTAAGTCGTATTTGTTTATTTTTGTTTTAGTTGCTTGTACGATGAGATATCAGTTATGAGTTCTTCTCCTAGGCCAATGTCTAGAAGAGGATTTAAAAAAAAATTTTTTTAATTTTAATTTTAGTAGTTTTGAGGATACAGGTGGTTTTTAGTTACATGGATAAGTTCTTTAGTGGTCATTTCTTAGATTTTGGTGCACCAGTGACCCAAGCAGCTCACATTGTACTCAATATGCAGCCTATGGGAGCTCAGAGGGAAGGGTGAGAGGGGATGAGACGTTAAAAACTGTCTATTGTTTTGTTAAGTTTTAAGTCAAGAAATGACTACAGGATCCTATCAATATGAATAATGTACTATTCTGCTAAGTTTATTTTGTACAGTCATAGATTCCGAATTTATTACGCCTTCATATTTTCTATCACAATGAGGACCCAAATCCAATAAAAACAATGTTCACTGACAGTGAAGATTGATTAATGCCATTTGTTAAGTTCAACATTTAATGTCTTAGTATAAAAGTCATGAGTTAAAGCTTTATATTATCTCACAACTTAGAAATGTATCATAAAATTCTATTTTTTTGTTTCATATAATTGAATAATTATTTTTTAAATTATTTCTTTTGATTTTTTCTTTTTT